ATAGCTGGAATATCAGAAGAATCTACAATTATCGCAACTCTTATATCAAGCCCATCCTTATTTTCATATATTTCAGGAACTCTCCATCCCTCCCATAATTCCTTAAGGTCATCAACTATTGAAAATAGATAATGATTAATTTGATTTTTATCAACTTCCTTAGGTCTTAGTAGAAAGCTCAAATAAATTATATTTTCATGCTTATTTTTTTCAGCCCTAGGAGATTACATATTAAAATATAAATAGCACCAGTGTTATATTGTATATACTTGAAAGGTTGGAACCAATCTAAATTTATTAATAATCTTAAATTTGAGGTGACAATTTCTGAACTAAAAAATTTGTTACCATTGAAAGAAAATGAATTCCAAATTTTCCTATTATATATATCAGCATAGATATTGCTGTCATAATTTTTTGTACTTGATTGATTAAGCATTTTTCAAAACCTGATTTCCAGTACATGATGCTTAATTATTGTTTGATTAAAGATTTAGGATATAACATTTGAAGAATAACTATCATATTTTTCATATTTCTTTTGAGAGAGAAGAGTTTATTATCACATTAATTCTTGTAAGAAAGTACAGGATTATTAGAATATTCTTTATAATTGCAATGTATAATTGTCAACTTATTATTTTCTTTATAATTATATACAATCTTAGAATTATATAATTTATAACAGTTTGTACAAACTGCTATCCTTAATTTTGGTTGAAAAATTTCTAACTTCTTTTTTGCTATAAATAAAGAAGCAAGAAATTCATAAAACTTAGAACATCAATCATCATAAGTATATTGTTTAAAAACTTAATTAAGGCCTTCAGGACTATATTAAGTATTCAGTATCTTTGTTGAAACTTAAATAATTACAAAAGTATCTTTACATCTAATTTATCTTCTAATTCTGTTCCTTTATAATCTTCGCTATCACTTTCCAGCTCAGGTGCAGCAAATAAATTATCATCATCTTCAGGTACTTCATTATTTGTATTCATATACTCTACTTGATTATTATAATCTTCTTCTTGATCATTAATCAATTCATCATCATCACGTTATTCTTCTAAGTCATCAATTAATTCATAATTTTCTTCATCTCCTATATTAAACAAAAGTTTATCATTATACATATCAGATATCTTTTCTATATTAGGTTCACGAAATTGATCATTTCTTAATTAAAATAATGATGCAACTCCAAAAACTAATCCTGTAAGCATGTTACTTACAGATATGTCTTTATTCAACTTTGGAATATTAATTGTATCCTTAACTGGAGGTAACTGTTAGAAATATACATGTTCCCAAAATTGATTTTAGATTTTTAAGGTATTTCGACTTTTTGAGATTTATGCAGAATCTATTTTATATATAGAAGTAAAAAAATATACAGTTATGTGTATATTCAATCAAAGAATAAATCTGAGTAATCAAAAAATTTCAGGTTTTAAGTAAAATAATTTCGTCATCTATGAAAAACTATTTTGACTTTTTTTTCAAAATTGTAATTTCAGGATTCCAAAATAATTTTGTGTGCAAGTATAATTAAGAACTTATTTTTCTTTTCTTTTATTCACTTAATTAAAATATTATAAATATTATACAAGTTAAAAATTGATATATCAAGTTTCCGATATGGCTATTTATATGTTCAATATGATTATTTATGATCTTGATGTATATAAAGTTATTTTAACAATTAACTTATTTTCATAATTAAACTTTCTTATTTTGATTATAGCTAATTAAATTTTTCTTTCTTTATTAGATTTTTACATAATTTTCTCATTAGCATGTTTTTTCTGAATTCATCCATCAACTTCTTTTCCTTTACAGTCTATACAATTACAAATATATTTATATATTTTTTAGAATTTATCAAATCAAATAAAAGAGATTCCACTCGAGCAGTTAATTTTTGAGTTTTTTTTTCAAATCAATTATTTTATTCAAAAGATAATTAAAAAATATATTAGTCAAAGTTCTTTAATAAATTTATTTTCAAAAAAAAATGTTTCTAAAATATTTACATGGTTAAATACTTGTTTTCTTTATAATATGCAGAGGTTATTTACATAATTTTTAAAGATAATATATGTTTGTGTTTCAAAATTAGAGAAATTTTATTTAGTTAATATATTTTTTATAAAATATATATAGTAATAATTTATTTAATATGGATAGTAAGTAATTTATATTATTACATTAAATTTTAATATGTTATACATTACTTCTCTAATCTGCATATAAGTAAACAAATACCTTTTTTTAATTATCAATAATATAATTTTTCTTTCTTTAATATTCATAATACTTCCTTGCAACTTATTTTATTCATTTCTTTAAAATATATATAATGTGAATAATATTATATCATGTTGATAATACTATATTATATGATTCTCATATATAATACTAAAACTTGATATGTATATTTTTTATTTTTTTTTTGTTTTCAAATAGTAATTGATTTTTTCTTTCAATTTTGGGGAAAGATAAAATTCTAAAAATTAAAATACTTTGTTTTTAAATATATATTATATATATTTCAGCTACATACGAAAATAATATGTCATAATTAAGAACATAAATAATATGAAAATATTATTTTATATAATATCATATATAATATACCCGATATCATATCTTTTGATATCAAAAAATCTAAAAAATACAATATATAAAGAACTACTTTTTTTCTTTCTTTCTTTTTTAAAAAATGACAAAATCAAACAAATAACAAATTTTTTTCATCCCATCAAGGTATTAAAAAAGAAAAAAAAAATTTCAAAAAAAGTAAACTAATTAATTAATTATCAGTTTATAATATAAATATAACTAATATATAACTAATATATAACTAATATATACAATATTTATAGAATATGAACAAGTGGATCGAATAGTTATCAAAATACTTAATAAAAATAATAAAAATAAAAAAATTATTAGCAAAATAATAAAAAGAAATGAATTTTCCTCTTCCTCTTCATCTTCTTTATTCTCTTTTTTATCCTCTTCTTCATCCTTGTCATCCTCTTTTTTATCCTTTTCCTCATTATCATCATCATTATCTGCTGATAAATCGTCATCATCTAAAGAAGAAAAAAAAAGAAAACAATAAAATATTTAAATTCTGAATCCTATAAGTGAGTTAGGATATATAGAAAGAATTATTTTTAATCTATAAGTCAAAATATAAAAGCAAATATTCAATAAAGGCAGAATGTATGTGACTGGAGTAATGTAATAATATAATTTCAAAACTTTTATTCAAATTGAACAAAATAATAAATGAAAAATATATAATATCAGATATGGAAATCAAAGAAATGTTACAATTAAGATGGCAAACTATGCATAACAAAATAGGTTAAAGTAAAGGAAAATAAAAAAATAAATTTGAAGAGAATAAAGAAGAATACGTAAATAGCAGTGATAAGATTTTATAACAATATAATAATATAACTATTGGGTATAGTATCGATATAATTTTATTTTAATAGAAAAAAAAAGAAGGAAAAAGTAACAGAATACTTGTTAAAAGGAGGTGACAAGAAATTAAACATGTATTCACAAAAGGATATATTAAAATATTAAATAATAGCAGTTTCTACTCTAAAGAGTAGGAAATGACAGATGAAGAATATGAAGGTACTATTTATAAGTTATATTTATATTATTTTCATTTATAATTAATTTAATTTATTAAATTTACAAAACAAGATCCATTAGGAGGATTTGAGATTATAGATATTAGTGATAATAATTATTATAATAATTATAATAATGATGATAATCGTAATAATAATTATGATAATAATAATTGTGATAATTACAATGATGATGATAATCATAATAATTATGATAAATATAATAATCATGATAATAATAATATTAATAATAATAATGACACATTATTATTATTACATAATTATAATGATAATGATAATAATGATAATAATAATAGTAGTAATAATAATAGAAGTAAAATTTGTACTACTACAGATGTTATCATCTCTGTTACTACCATTATTGTCACTACTGTCATCACTGTTATCCACTTACATAAAACAATAATATCAATTTTTATTAAAGATAAATAGTGATGATCTGATTTGATAAGTAGATCAATGGTAATAATGTTTTTACATCTATCAGGTATAATATTAATAAATGATATTTTATAGTTAAAAAAATTATTGTACAAAAGAATTGACCTAGTAATTGATATTGTGTACAACCTGCTGAAAGTATCAAAAATCAAAATTAGATCTCTATGACATATACTAACAGAAGTAGAAATATCAAAAAATGTTCTAATTTGGATATTAAATATAACAGTACTTAAAAAATTAAAGTGAGAAAATAGAATCATTCCGATATATGACCAAATATCACTAACCAAGATAATGATAATAATAATAGTGATGACAATAATGATCATAAAGTAAGAACAAGTAATAAAAAAAGAAAATGGAAAGATAATAATAATGATCATGAAGTAGAAATTAGTAGTAAAAAAAGAAAACAAAAAAGAAAAGAAAAAGAAAAAAAGAAAAAATCAAAAAAAAAATCAAAAAAATAATTAGATAGATTATTTTATATAGCATATATAATATATTTCATTTTATATTTTTCATAATAAATGTATTTCATTTTATTATCTTTTTTATAATAAACTAAAATTATGATTATTTGTAAATAAAAAAAAGTGAAAATATATATATATAAATAAAAGGTACCAATAGATATCTGATAGAAGGAAAAAAACTACATAATATACAGAAATATACTATACCCGATATATAGGGATATACTATGGCCGATTTATAAAAGATATGTACCCAATAAAAAAAATAAAAAAATCATATGTCTGATAAGTATACGATAGGTGTCTAATATTTCCTATTTCGACCAGTGTTATTTCAAAACTTTTATTAACTGTTTCAGTGCTTTTATTAACAGTGATTACTTCAGAACTTTCATTAAAAATGGATATTTCAGGATTTTCATTAACAGTAGTTATTTCTGAACTTTTATTAACAGTAATTATTTTAGAACTTTCACTTTCACTATAGGTAAAATTGATACTTTGCATTTCTAGTTGTAATAGGTGTGAGTTGGTGATAGTTTAATAAGTCTAATCAGAACTATACATGTTCCCAAAATTGGTTTTGGATTTTTGAAGTATTTTGACTTTTTGAGATTTATGTAGAATATATTTTATATATAGAAATAAAAAAATATTCAGTTATGTGTATATTCAATCAAAGAATAAATCTGGGTGGTCAAAAAATTTTGTCTTCTATGAAAAACTATTTTGACTTTTTTCCTTGAAATTGCAATTTCAGAACTCCAAAATAATTTTGTGTATAAGTATAATTAGAACTATAGTTCTTTTAGTATGTCAATTATCAGTATACTATTGTTCATTTTTTAGAAATGGCATATACATTTTCTTTAATTTATGTTCTTGCACAGACACACTCACTTGGCTTTTGTGACTCTCTACTGGTATACTATTATTTAATAGTAAAGTACTTGAAGTTACAAGTAAGAATAATGAAGCACTCAAGAACAAAAACTAAGTCATGTTGTTGTCTTATATAGTATTTTGCATCACATGTTATATGCATCTATTTATATAAGGTAAGCATTAATCAAACATTCGAATTATTCAATACTAAAGAGTATTATTGAACCCATTGGGTCTAGTTGGGCATATTCACAAAGCCCAAACCCAACCCAATATTTAGCAAGCCCAACCCAGTCCGGCCGCAAATTCACGGGTTTAGCCCGGCCCATTCCGTACCCTAGTGACAGGTAAAGTTTAGTGCAACTCGAGGAGTGCTAAATCCGCAGAAAATCATGTGATAAAATTTTTGCCATAAATTAAGGGACGTGATAATTCCAGGTTCAATTTTTATTCACTTTGAAAATGACCAAGTACATTTCTAGTGGTTAGTATTCTGATCTCAATATTTTTAACTTTATTATTTCTAAAATATTATTAACACTATTGTAGACGGAACTGTAAGAGATAATCGGACAGTTGTTAGAATTATTAAGGACTTTTTTTGGTCAATTTATACTTTTATTGCGTTATTTTTTTACAGCTTAACTTCGGTGTGTTTTCCTTCTGTATTATTTCTATTTGAACTTATTATTCACTGTTTGTTGATAAAAATTTTTTCAATTTCCTTAGCCCACTGTTACGGCAGAAGATTTTAGAAGTGGTGGGAGCGGACCAAAGATTGGTAGGATTCCTCCTGGTGGTAAGTTGTTTGTACAATGCGGTTATAATTTATTATAGTTATCGAATTAATATATATTTTTTACAAACAACCTATTTAGAAAAGAAAACATTTCATCAGAATATTTGTGGAAGTTGTGGTTAAGAAGTTACTTTTATAACAATTAATATAATAATATAATATCATGTCAATGCTTATATATGTATTATCAATAACTTATTATAATCTTTAATTTTCATTTTTTCAATTAAACACTTGTTATTTCATAAACCCGAATTCCTAGTGGAACTTTTCAATATTTTTATTTAATAAAGAAATTTTTAGTCTCTAATCAAGCACTTTGTTATTTTTCTAAAAGATGTTTTTGACACAATTTGTCAATTCGTTCTAGTGAATTTTATAACAACTTTTTCAAATCCCATGAAATAAATTTATTATTATTTTTTATTTTATTTTATTTTAAAATCTAAATAATTGCCGAATTAATAATTTCTTTGAAACATAAAACAAAATCATACAAAATATTGAATTCTAAATGTGGATTCTAAATATGGATATCGTTACAAAATATGGATTTCCTTTTATATCGGATCGAATCTCTCATCATTAGAATATTTAAATGTTAAATCTGAATCAAGCACGAATAATTTTCTCAAGAAATAAATTGATTAATTCTTTTTCATCCCAATTATTTTTAATTAATTCAATTAATTTGGTTTTATTTGATCCATCTTCATTTTCAGTTAGACACCTTTCTCAAACTATCATCACAAAAAATATGGAAAAAAAACGTTCAAATGAAGAATGGCAAGCAGTTCTTACTCCTGAGCAATTTAGAGTTTTACGTGAAAAAGGAACAGAACCAGCAAACTCTGGTGAATATAATAAATTTAATGGAAAAGGTATTAGTTAATTAATCAAACCGATCTTCAAACTGTGAAATTCCAAAAATTCCACGGATTCTTTAACTTATAAATAATTTCTTGTGTGGTGAATAGGAGTGTACAGCTGTGCAGCTTGTAATACGCCTCTTTATGTTTCCGATACCAAATTTGATTCTGGGTGTGGTTGGCCGGCTTTCTTCGATGCAATACCTGGTGCAATTAATCGAAAGACTGACAATTCACATGGAATGTCTCGAATTGAGATTACTTGCGCTGCATGCGATGGTCATCTAGGTCATGTCTTTAAGGTAAAGATAAAGATACATTTCTTAATTAAAAAATAATAAAATATAAATGAGAAAGATACATTTACTAATTAAAAAATATAAATAAAATATTAATTTTAATTTTAATAGGGAGAAGGATGGAATTTTACATCAGCTGACGAAAGGCATTGTGTTAATAGTGTTAGCATTAAATTTAAAGAAGAAGGAAAATCCGAAAAATCTTGATATAATATTTTTTTATACATTCTTACATTCTTGTATACATAACATAACATAAATTATTGAATGTTATTTTTAAATTAATGTGAATAATTTTATTGTTAAAGAAATAAATATTTTTTTTTTTTTTTTATAAATTTTTACATCTTTGTGTACATAACAAAAAATTATTGAATGTTATTTTAAAATTAATGTGAATAATTTTATTATAAAAAATAAATATATATGTTTTCTTTTAAAAAAGAGGTAATTATGATTTCTAAATTAAAGGACAATTATTTCCCTCACATAAAGACATTGTGTATTAGATAAAAGAAATAAAATAAAATAAAATAAAGTAAAATAAAAAAATAAAAAATGAACTATGAAAATATAATTTTTTTTTGAAATTTTATTATTTTCAAAATCTTTTTATTCATAATTCATATAATTCCATATACAACAAACAATTCTAAAAAATAATTGATAAAAATGAATAAATGATATAAAATTATTGTGACATGAAATTCTTAAAATACTTTAAAACTTGAAATTCTTAAAATACATTTATAACATTTTGATGATAATTGAAATATATACAAAACGAACAACCGTCAATGTTTATTATTACTATTATAAAAAAATTCCATAATATAAACTTAAAAGTAACGCTAGGAGAAATTAATTATTATTATTTTTTTTTTTGTTTAAGCTGTGGCTTGTTGAGATGTTTGAGATGATTGTTCGGCAGCTGGTGTTGTTGATGTTGATGGCAGAAGTCGTTTACTCTTGTAATCTTTAATTGCAGATTTAATTGCATCTTCCGCAAGCACTTTATAAATTAAAAGAAAATAATTTAAGTTATGAATAGTTATAAACAAATATAAAAATTGTGACTAAAAATACTTTTCAACATACTCGAACAATGTAGTTTAACAGGTGGTAAAGATAACTCTTTCGCAATTTCTGTGTTTCTAATTTGTCCCGCTTCTTCCAATGACATACCACGAACTCTTTCAGTCATATAACTTGAAGAAGCGATGGCAGAGCCGCACCCAAAAGTTTTAAATTTAACATCTACAATTTTACCAGTCTGGTCATCTACCCGGATTTGAAGCTTCATAACGTCTCCACAAGCAGGAGCACCAACAAGACCAGTTCCAACATTAGGATCTGCTCGTGGCAATGAACCAACGTTGCGAGGTCTTTCATAATGATCAATGACCTTATAAATAGAATAATTAGAATAATTAAAATAATTAGAATAAATGGATTAAATATTAAATATTTTAATTTATTCCAAAAAAAAAAAAAAAAAAAAAAAAAAAAAATTTACCTTCTCGTGATATGCTCGTATAGTCGCAAGTCGTGTGAACGATTGAGATGCAATTCGAGAGAACAAACTAGTATTTTGAGAAAGAGTAGTTCGCAACATTTTTTGTTAAATATATTTGATGAATTAAAAATAATGATCCTATTTATATATAAAATTCTTGATCACCAAATGAATGACTAATAAAAAAAGGTAATGATGATTACGATGATTACGCAATAATCTGATTTAAAATCTGATAATCCATAAAAGGTTTATCAGACGGCCAAAAGGGGTTTTTTTTATCTGCCCTTTCTCCGATCTTATAATATCTGATATATAACGTGATCAAAGAGATTATCAATATTTTTTTAGATATCTTTGGATATCTGAAATGTTTTCTGTACCAAAATTACTGAAATTATCTCATACAGTAAAAGTAGCCTTTAATACTTTTAATCTACCACATATTCCACTTCAAAGGAATAATTCATGGAAACTAAAACAAACGTTAAAGTCATTAAAATCTTTAAACTTCGGTTTTGGTCAAAGAAATATTCATATTTTTAATCCTTTACCTTACGATAACGTTGAACCCTTATTTACTGAACGAACTTTAAATGATTTGATCGACAATCAGAATTGTCTTATTGAAACTTTGAATGAACTTATTACTGGTATTGAATTTTGGTCTCAAAAATGTAATAAAAGATTGTATAAAAATGGATTTTTTCAAATAAGATAAATTATTTCTAATAATCAAAAGATACAGAATTCGAAAATGACGAGATGTATACGATCATTGCCAAAACGGCCCAAGTACCAGAGAAAGCACAATTATTTAATTGTGCATCACAAGCGTGGAATAATGATTTCTTTTTACGATGTTTGGTATGTTATATCATTCTTAGAATTCTAGTTTTTACTTCATAACAATCATAACAAATATTCAACATATTCAACATGAAACATTATATTTATTGTATTATATTTTATTTATAATACACACATTAGAACCCTAATAAAACTGAATTAGTTGGAACTATTAATGAAAATATCAAAAAAGAATTTGGAAAGATTGATGAATTTAAGAAACATGTAATTATTCTTTAATTATAGTCACATTCTTTATTTTATTATTAAATTGTGATCCCATCAAAGAAAAAAAAAAAGTTATTATTTTTTCTGATTTGAGTTTTTTGATTTTGATAAATAATAATTAGTTTAAATATATGGCATTAGGTTTATTTGGTTCAGGTTGGACATGGTAAGAACAACTTTCTTACCTATTAAACATGAACAATTGATTAATTTGAAATTTTTATTAAATCTTTATTAAAATTTATTAAATTAAGGCTTGTATTAACTGAATTTAATATTCTTCGGGTAATCAATACTTACAATGCAGGTATAAAAAAAAAAAATTTTTTTAATAATAAAAAATTTAATCTCCCGCCGTATTATTTTTCTTCATATTACTTTCTTCATATTATTTTTCTGTACTCATCAAGGAACTCCACTCGACATAACCCGTCTTCAAGCACATGATCCCAACAATTATCCCGATAATTTACCTAATTCACCATTCCATTTTACACCTACTTCACCATTCGCACCAACTCTCAACGAATCGCCAAAACCTTTATCACCTCCAAAAATAAAATTAGCAATGGAATCACCTAATAAATTACGATTGACTCCTTTATTAGCTTTGAACGTGTGGGAACATGCTTATATTAAAGATTATGGTTTGCAAGGTAAAGTAGATTATATAGACAAATTTTGGGATGTTGTTGATTGGAATGTAATGGAAGAAAAATTTATTGCACATCAAAATACTAAGCCACAACAACATCAGTTTACGGGTATTAATTTTTTTTGATTCAAAGATCACAAGATAAAATAAGATAAAATGAAGGCATTAAAATTGCATCCTTATTAGTTTGTTATTAGTTTGTTATTAGTTTGTTATTAGTTTGTTATTAGTTTGTTATTAGTTTATTTTATTTTGTGACAAAATATAGAAGAAATAAAATAATTATAATTTTATCACGTTCAGGAGTCACTTCATTGAAGTCACTTGATAAACCTGTTAAAGGAGAAGTGATTATCATTTATCATTTATAAAGAATTCATTGCGTCATATGATTTACATTATTATTTCTATATATACATGACATGTAGTACAACATGCACATTATGCCATCATCGTCATATTTTGTATGAAATTTAATCCATCAGATCATGCACGAAAAAACACAAGTGACCTTCAGAAAGAAACTAATTGAGAGCGAACATATAAAATGGTTAATTAGATTATCTTGCCTGCAAACAAAGACACGAAGTTTCAGCTTGACATAAATTAGTGTTATTAACTAAAAAGGAACTTTTTAAATTAAAATTTGATAAATATTAAATCTATACATTTTATACATTTTATACATTTTAAATTTATTATAAGAATATAATAAGGAATAAAGAATATTCTTTGTGGCTATTTTAATTATCTTGTTTTATGGACACGTGATGGCTTGATTAGTAAAATGAAAGAACTGGTAAACTGGTTATAAAAGGATTGAAGTTATACAGACTTAAAAATACAAGCAAATACACAGGACAGTATTTTCGCATGACTGATTCGGCTGACCCCCCCTAAAAAATGAGATATTTTTGTTGTCTCGATCAATAAGGATTTATTTTCATTCTTTTTTTACTATAAAAAGTTCTCTCTAAATTTTATTTAATAATTAAAAATTACTATCAAATATTATAATTTCTAATATAAATAATATAAATCATTTCTTTAAATATTTCAAACATTCTTCTCAATCTCAAATTATTAAATTATGGTTTCTCCTGCTGAACCTCTTGATATCAAAAAACGTGGAAAATCAAAATCCCCTCTTAATAGTATTCCTGAAAGAGCCATCAGTCCAAGCTTTAATACTGACCGAATTAACAACATAAATCGTCTTGTTTCTCCTCCTCATAACAACTTAAATCGTCTTGTTTCTCCACCTCTTAACAACATAAATCTTTTGGCTTCTCCCCCTCTCAATAACATAAATCGTCTGGCTTCTCCTCCTCCTCCAGATGTTCAACATCTTTCAAAGTCTCAACCAAAGGCAAGTTATCAAAATAAATTGGATTCTTCTTTTCCCGTTAACAAGAATTTCGCAAATAGTTCTGGAAGCAATGGAAGATTTCTTGGTTCATACTCATTCGGTTCTTTGGAACAAAATCCAGAATCTTATATAATTTATATTCCAAAAGAAAGGAAAGCTGAAATTGTCAAAAAGCATCTTGTTACTGACGAGGAATATGCTCGTAGCTATGGCAGCTATGAAAGTACCAGTATTTTACCTGATTCTCATTATTCGAGTTCTCATAAATTACCTGGTGGTGATGCAACACATGAAGTTTATAAATGGCAAAAAGGCATCGAAAATGAACCCATGAAACGTACTCGTTCTCGTTCTTTACATATTCCAAAACCATATGATCCCGATACTTCCAATATAAGAGAACCTGGTGGTTTCCGTCGTCATCATGTATTGATGAAAGCTAGAAAAGCGGGAAAAGAACCAAATATCATAACACGTAATTTTATCGATTTTTTGGCAATGTATGGACATTTCGCTGGTGAAGATTTATCTGATCATGAAGGTGAAGATGATGATGATGATGATGATGTTGATGATGACGTTAATTCCGAATCAACTCCATTGATTCAAAGAGATGGACACGCGAATGCGTCCCCTTCAAAAGCCGTGTTTTTATTATTGAAATCATTTGTTGGTACAGGTGTTATGTTTTTACCTAAAGCGTATGTCTTATTTAATTGCGTTCTTAAAATTCTCGTGTCATTATTGTATTATAAAATCTTTAGTAAAATCCAAGCTTATGAAATATTTCATACGAATATCTTTGGTCATTATATATTATGGTGATTAGATTTTATAATGGCGGTATGGCCTTTTCTCTAATTTTTTTGATTGCGGTCGCTGCGATTTCGTTATGCGCATTTTTATTATTGGTCGAGACACGGTTCTATGTTCCATATAGTTTCGGTGGTATGTGACATTTATCATTTTAAATAATTTTTATCAATTTTATCAATTTTTTTTTTACCTTTATCAATTTTATCAATTTTTTTTATCTTTATCAATTTTTTTTTAGATATTGGCGGTGTTCTTTATGGTCGTTGGATGAGACTTGCAGTATTATTTTCGATAACTATTTCACAGGTACTATCGATTCTTCGATTCTTTTAATATTATTTTATACTACTACCTTCTATAATGATGATTTATATAACCCATATTTTTCAATTCTCAGATTGGATTTGTATGTGCTTACATGATTTTTGTTGCACAGAATATTGGGAGTGTTGTTTTTGAAGTTACTGGAATCGAACGAGATGTGGCTTGGTATTTAATGGCTCAACTTGCTGTTTTCATGCCACTCGCTATGATCCGTCGTATTTCTAAGCTATCATTCACGGCATTGATCGCGGACGCTTTTATCATGTTTGGACTTTTATATCTTTATTATTATGATATTTCATTATTAGCGACTAAGGGTATGGGAAAAATAGAAGCATTCAATTCTTCCGACTTTGCTCTGTTCATTGGCACAGCTGTCTTCACCTTTGAAGGAATTGGATTAGTGAGTTCTATGTATTTTTATCTTTGTATTTATATCATAAAGTTTTATATTTTGACCGAATTTTTCTTTTATTATAAGATTATCCCAATCACTGAATCAATGAAAGAACCGGAAAAATTCCCTAAAGTTCTTACTGGTGTAATGATTTTTATTACTTTTATTTTTACTTCGATTGGGGTTTTATCTTACGCCGCCTTCGGTGAAAATGTTGAGACCGTAGTTATCCTAAATTTGCCGGCCGGAGATCCAGTTGTTCAAGCCGTCCAATTTTTATACGCCTTAGCTATCCTTCTCTCCATTCCCTTGCAACTATTTCCGGCTTTAAGGATTATGGAACAAGGATTATTCGAAAAAAGTGGGAAGGATGATCGTTTGGTTAAATGGCAGAAAAATGTATTCCGTTGCTTAACGGTGATTGCATGTGGCTTAATTTCATATGGTGGCTCGCGTGATCTAGATAAATTTGTATCTCTGATAGGTTCTCTTGCATGGTGTGTAAATGAATAATTCTTTTTTACATTTTTCGATTTTTTCATTGATATTCTTTTTATGAAAATATGTATTTTTTTTTTTTTTTTAGTGTTCCGCTTTGTTTTTTGTATCCCCCACTGTTCCATTTTAAGGCTGCAGCGCATACTCTCAAAGCTCAACTATTAGATATATTTATATTTGTATTTGGGCTTTTTTCATTGTTATATACATCATACGTGACACTTGATAAATGGGGTGACATTTAAACGTTGATTGTCCGATCGTATTGAACAACGTGGTCACTTGATGTAAGTTATAGGAAGGATGTCATCGAAAGTCGAATCATTTTGGGAGGAGTAATGTATGAGGATGAAGAAATAATGGTGAAGAATGTTTATTTGTTATGTCTAATAAGGATCGAAAATCATTTATGGACCTTTATCGACTTTAGTTTTCGGACTAACTATCTATTGTTTCAAATTTTCAATTTTATCCGACTGAAACAATATAAAATAAATCGTGTAAATTTTATTGTTTATTCCGATTGTTTTTATACAAATTTTTACTATTCATATCTTGATAATTTTATCACAAATTTTTTTTAATTAGTAATGCTTATAACTGTTATAAGTAAGGGTTTTACCTCTCAAATAGTTTAATCATGTTCCTATTGAAATATTATTGATACACGTTCATCAGGTATAACTTGCTGAAATATTGTCAAATTGTATCATGTTCACCTATCAAAATATTGCTGAATTCTATCATATTCACAAATATTCATTAATATATATTGAAATTCAAATATTACAATTTAGTCTCTTTATACCTATCCGTTTTGGCCAACTTTTCATTACACTAGTATCTGTAGAGATTTAAAAGTCCTGGACTGGTCTTGAACCACCTGGTCCTAGGGCAAAGGCAGACCAGACCTGATCCCGTAAGACTGGTTTTAGGACCAGTTTAGGACCTGGTCCTATTAATAGAGGATCACCTCATCCCTAAGTATCTAGATATATTTAACTATTACTATTATCAAGAAACTTATAAATAACAGTATAATACATCAAATAAAGTATTGATAAATGCAAAATGAACTACATTTACAACAAAAAAATAATAAAATATTGTCTATAAAAATAAAATAAAATATCTTTACACAAATTCAATAAAATGGTAATAAAATTGTTCAATTAACTATTTTAATTCAGATTTAAAACTCTTAATTACTAGTTCACCTATCAATCAGTGTAAATTTGGAATTTGTGTTTCCTACATAGTTATGTCTGTTAATTTTTAATCTAATCAATTAAAACAACTTTGGAATTGGATTTACTTGTCAATATATTTTAATATAATTTTATGAAACTCAAAGTTTTATAAAATGTCAATAAATATTAACAATTAGCAAAATTTAAGCAAATTTGTTTTACAATTTTTTGCTTAATAAAATTATTAGTTAGAAGTTTGAAAGTTTATTTATACACATTTCTAAATATATTTTAATATATTCTTAAAAAAAATTATTCTGAAGAATATAGATTATTTGTTATATTGTTTTAACAGTTTTAAAATTTACAAAAATTTGAAAAATTATATAATTTTAAAAAAATTTCATTGTTTTAGGTTTTTTAATATTAAATAATTTCACATGAACAAAATTTGAAAGTTTGAAAATTTCTGTTTCACCTTTAATTATATATACTAAATGTGTACAAGTTATTTATTTTTGAATTATTAAGTAAAAAAATTTTTTTAATTAATGTTTTAATTAATAGGTAAATTAGTAATTAAGGTTTTTTAATAATTTCTATATATAGCTATAGTACAAGTCTAGAAGTTATAAGATGTACTTCATGATATTATCAATTTGTTTCTTTGATAATTATTTTTTTCTTTTTTATAAAAATCTTTTTTTTTGAATTTTTAATAAGGATAAATTTAATTATAACAACTTGTTACATGTTTTATTTATAACAACTTCAAAAATTAGATTCAAATTGATCAATTATATAATGACATATCATGGATAGACTTTATTTCTTTATATTAAAATTTATTACAAATATAATATAATAAAAAATGATGAATTTATAAATAAAATGAAAAAGAAAATTTTTTAATTTTTTTTTCTATTAATTTGAATATCTTGCACTATTATGTCTTAATTGATTGCATATACTACAAGTGTATTTTACATGTGGTTTTTTTTTTGTTAATGATTCATATCATTTTGTTATTATAATAGAGGATGAATAATTATTTAACTTATTATTAATATTTAAACATATTAGTTTAATCATATGTAAAACAAACAATATCAATTAGTATTACTTAACATTTATTATTAATTATTTATATTTAATATTATTAGTTATTATATTAATATTATTAGTATTATATCATTTATAGTTATTAACAAATAGTATTTTGTGATACAGTAGTTAAAATAGTATGAATAAGTAGATATCACTATATAAATAGTGATATCTACTTATGTTATATTGTTACCTACTTATGAATATATTGTGATTTATTTATAAGTAGATACATATATGACATCTATTTAGCTTGATATTTGTTTTCTTTTGATGGAATTTTTAACTTTCTTTGATTATTTGACTGCTTTCCTTGACTGTGACCAGACATGTAGTCTAACGTGTATTTTTCTTTTTAGGCCACACTCAAGTGATGTGCATTTTGTTTTTTAGGCCACACTCAAACTATCATATATCAAGGTGATGATGCATTCAATTATATATTGTCATTTGTGAACCCGATGTGAGGGTTATGCCCAAACTAGGCATGTAGTACTCTAGCTTTCTAGTTAATTCCTCAATGAGAACCAGAGTTAAGACACATAGTGCTGAAATAGTTCCACTTGGAAGGTTTTTGGGATGACAAAAAATATATCAAACCTGAGGCATATAGTACCAAATTGTTATCATATCTAATTATACATCAAAGCATCTGATGATGAGGCACATAGTGCCGAATTGTTATTCTTACTTGGTAATATGTAAAAGCAAAAATTTATCTTATCTCTTTCTTTATAATATTCTGCCTTTGCGTATCACTTTTTTTTGTATCTGAATTATACTATCTGATCCTTATTTTTGGTAATACGTAAAAGTACAATTTTCTATTACCTCTTTCCTTATAATATTCTGCCTTTGCGTATCACCAAAAGTTTATTATATTTTTCAGTTTTGAAAGCTCTTCTTGCATAGTTAGTTAATAGTTCGAATATTACTACTTTACATTAGTGAAGCTAGTATAAGATACTAAAAAATCAGATCATACTTATATGTACTCTTTTGCATATCACTTTTTTATTAACTTTTGCATATCACTTTTTTGCTGACTTTTGCATATCACTTTTTTGCTAACCTTTACATATTACTTTTTTATTAACCTTTGCATATCACTTTTTTGCTAACCTTTATGTATCACTTTTTTGATATCTACCTAACGATACAATTTTTTTCTTACCTTTATATATCATCTTTTTTTGATATATAAAAGTTTGATTTTTCTTACCTTTGCATATCACTTTTTCGATATCTGTTTAATGATACTATGTGTCTTGATACTAGTTTCGGGTGATAACTACTCTCCACTATACGTGTTGCCCAAATCCCAAATCATTTGGGATTTGGGATTTGGGATTTCGGCAAAAAATACTAATTATAATTTGGGATTTGGAATTTGAGATTTCGGCATTTGGGATTTCGGCATTTGGATTTTGAATTTGGGTGGCAGGTATACTCTCCGCAACTCAAAAATTCATTTTGATAAGTGTCTGGTCTAGAGATGGTTGGCTCAATTAATATCAAGCTGACTCAATTAATTACACCCTGACTAAATGATTTCGTTCTGGCTAAATTCTGGTTCAATTAATTACGCCAGCTAAATTCCAGTTCAATTTAATTGCGCTAGCTAAATTTAAGTTCAATTTAATTGTGCCAACTAGATTTTAAATCAACATAACTATTAAAATTTCATTATAATTTTTAAAATTCTCATTCTCTCTCTCATTCTCTCTCTCTCTCTTTCTCTCTCTCTTTCTCTCTCTCTCTCTCTTTCTCTCTCTCTCTCTCTCTCAATTCCTTCTCAAAATAAAATACTTTTTCTTATTACAAAAATATAATAATAAAAATCATTCTTTATAATAAAAATCAATTTAAAATTACATATAAATAAAAATAATTATTCAATAAATTTTATAATTATATTATTAATCAAAATTACATTAACATTTAACCTTTATACTAACAAATCAAAATTATACTAAATTTAATCTTTATATCAGCCAATCAAAATTATATCAACATTTAATCTTTACACCAACCAATTAAAATTGTGCTAACATTTAGCCTTTGCACCAGTCAATCAGAATTGCACCAGCATTTAGTTTTTACGCCAGAATTTAGCCATTGTGTCCAATTGCGTCAAGGTTAATTCCTGTGCTCAATTGGTTAAATTAAATCTGACTAAATTCGTATTGCGTTTCCCATCCCTACTAAAAACATTATTTAACCTTTTGTTAAAAAAAATATAATAAGTAATTAAAATAATTAATATTAAAATAATATTCAAAAACTAATAAAAAATAAAAAATAAAATAAGATAAAATAAAAATTTAAAAAAAAATTGTAAATAAGAAAGAATTTAATAATAACTTTGACAAGTCAAAAGAAATTCTTGAAACTTTTTAAAAAAAAATATAAAAATTAAATAATTGATAAAAATCAAATAATTGGTGAAAATCAAATGAATGATGATATGAAACTTTCAACTCTTGACAAAATATAAGTAAGATTAGAAAAAATAATAAATAAAAAAAAAAACTGTAACCTTTTGAAATAAAAGAAAATCTAAAAAAGATGACAGTAATGATGATGACAATTATGGTAATAATAATAATAATGATAATAATGAAAATGATAATGATTTATAAATAATATAAAATAATTAATAAAAAAAAATAATTGATAATATAAATAAAAACAAATATAATATAAATAAAATATAAATTTGTAAAACTAAATGAACAAAATAAATTATATATAAATAAAATTATACTTTAACATCTATTAGATATATATAAAATAAAATTATACTTTGAACATCTACTAGTATAAAGATATCAACTATACGAGAAATGGTTCAAAAATTGTAAAACATGATTGGTATTTGGTAACATGTCAAGGTAAAATTATTACAGATATATATATAATATAAAATTATATTTTGAATATAAAAATCAGTAGTATCTCAAAATATTTTTAATATAAAGTAATAGTATTCGAAAGTATTAATTATATAAGAAAAATTTTTAGGATTGTAAAATATAGTATACTGATAGTAGACATACAAAGTAAAATTATTACAATATGCTTTGAATTATATATGTTTTCAAAATTAATTTTAAATTTTTGAGATATTTCAACTTTTTGAAATTTATACAGAATCTATTCTATATATAGAAGTAAAAAAAGTATTCAGTTATATATATCTTTAATTAAAAAATAAATTTAGGTAATTAAAAAATTTTGAATTTTAAATAAAATAATTTTGTCTTCTATGAAAAACTATTTTAACTTTTTTTCTCAAAATTGTAATTTTGAAATTTCAAAATAATTTTGCGTACAAGTATATTTTGAATATAAAAATCAATAGTATCTCAAAGTATTTTTAATATGAAATAATAATATTCGAAAGTATCAATTATATAAGAAAGATTTCTAGGATCACAAAATATAGTATATTGATGGTAGACATCCAAAATAAAATTATTATATATATTTTCAAAATTGATTTTGAATTTTTGAGGTATTTCAACTTTTTGAGATTTATGTAGAATCTATTTTATATATAGAAGTAAAAAAAGTATTCAGTTATATATATCTTTAATCAAAGAATAAATCTGGGTGGTCAAAAAATTTTAGGTTTTAAGTAAAATAATTTTGTCTTTTATGAAAAACTATTTTGACTTTTTTCTTGAAATTGTAATTTTGAAACTCCAAAATAAATTTGTATACAAGTATAAAAATTATTACAAAATGATATATATTATAAAAATTATATCTTGGATGTCTACCAAATGGAATAATATTCAGCACATAGTATTTTATCCTGGATCGATAGCATGTCAAGGTAAAATTATTACAGATATATATAATATAAAATTATACTTTGGATATCTACCAAATAACTGCTAACAATTTGACACTATATATCTTATTCTCAGGTAATATTTGAATAAATTATATGAAGCTAACAACTGCTAACAATTCAGCACTACGTACTTCATTCTCAGATAATATTTTAATGAATTATATGAAACTAACAATTGCTAACAATTTGATACTATGTGCCTCATTCTTAATCAGTATTTAAATACATTGCACAAAACCAGAATGCAAGTATTATTTTAATACTATGTACCTTAAATCTGGCTCTCATCAAGGAATTAATTAGAAAGCTAAGGCACTACATGCCAAGTTCAAACATAGCCTTCACATTGGACCTGCAAATGATGACACATGACTGAATACATCGTCAGGTATTTTTTTTGCCCATATGACTTAAAAATGGAAATTGGTTACAGTCATCAAACCGATATACATTATGTCACATATGGGTGATAACAAAAATTTACTATGATCATCATTCAAGTGACATGAAAAATAGAAATCATATATCATTTCACCTGTATATCCTGATAACTCTTGGATGACAAAGCAAATACAAATCACATGTCACTAATGAGCAGACTATAAACATCTTATTACTTGAGTGACTTGAGTTTTGCAATTCACATATCATTCGAATAACTTGAGTTTTGCAATCTACACATTATACCTGAGACTATAATAGTCTAAACTAAGCTGTTTTTTGTTTATATAAACAAAAAACGGCTACCTCTTATAGTTTTTTAATAGTATTATTTGGAGCTCTAATTGTAATATATTACAATTTGGAACATTAATTTTTCAGTTCATCACAATGCAATAATCAATTTTTTTCAAATATCATTTCACCACTTACCTTTCAAACTTTTCAAACTCACTTACTTAGTGGAGAATGTGGACAAGACAAAACATTAATAACATCTTGTTTCTTAATTTCATCCAATTTCCTAACCCTAGCTTAAGCACTTTCTCATTTTATCTTTTTCTTTTATGATGCCTGAGTGAGTTTATTTTTAAGTTCAGCCTTTTCACAATCCATAAAACTTTCTAACCCTGATGCCATAGGTTTTACATAGTTTACTTCTTTATTCAAAATTTCGAGTTTATTAAAAAATAATGTGACACAAAACCAGGAATATTTTCTCCATTGCAACAAATGTGTATGTTGAATAACTACATATATGCCGTAATACGTTCATAATGAACGATAAGGTATATGTTGAATAATTACATATATGCCGTAACACGTTCGTTGTTCTGTGTAATATTAATTATTACTATATATATTTCTTGTAATTATGGTCGCATTATTTTGTACTCAGCATATTATTCTATGCATGTAAATGAATTTTATTAATGCAGTAATAAATGTAAATTTGCCATTTAAAGTAATATTGTATTAATACTGTATTAACTATTAATATTCCAATTTATTTATTAAACCTAAATAAATATATATATATTATATATATATATATATTTTTCGACAAAATGTTGACAAATTATTATTAAGCAAAGTATACAAGTTAAATAGGATGTTATTTTTATATAATAGTTATCAGCTGTTTTATCAATCACAGCTACAACATAATCAACTGTCTTGTATTATTGGTACAACAACAACCAAAACCTTCTACTCAAACCAAACTAGAGATTACTACAACCAATGCATGCTCTTGATTAATAAAGGAATAATGAAAAAAAAATAATTGTAAAATAAATGTTACGGGGGGAATGAGAATCTACTTACAAAAAAGAAAAATATCAACATAAAAAAAAATCCAAATAAAAAGAAAAAAAATATAAATGGATCAAGATTACATCACTCTTTCCATTCATTACTTCTCTTTAGTAATTCCGTATTAAAAATAAAAAGTAATGAAAAAAAAATTGATATTGGAATAAATGCTAGGAATATAGTTTAGTAAATCAGAAGACCATAAAATAAAATAAAAATAATAAAAAAGCAAAGACATGAAATAAATCGTGTATAACTAAAAAAAAAAAAATGTGCATTGTTGCAATTCTAACCAAAAATCCATTTTTTGACGACCGTGATAAAGAATTTACAAATGATATTATAAAGTAAACGTCTATCTATCATAGCCTATAAGAAATGAATAAAGAAAATGTAATTTAATAAACTTTAATCAATATAAACTATATATAAATTGCAATAATATGATACTAATTGAATACTTACTCGCTAGATTTACAACGCCCAATTTAATAATAAAAAATAAATTAATTAATAATAGAATTTTTTTAATAATCAAAATTTTAATAATATAATAAAAAAATATTTTAAAATAATAAATAAATAAATAAAATAAAACAAAATGAATAAAAATAAATGAATAAGATAAATAAATAAATAAATAAATAAAATAAAACAAAGTAAAATGAGTTAACGAAATCTGTCAAGTTCATCAATAAAACATCAGGACAACAAGAAAAATGTTTTAATAATCACAAGCATTATTTCATACGCACGTAAAGATGAATAGATTATTAGTGGCAGCCACAGCGATCGAATTTTCATTTGGATGCCACGAAGCGTGGAGAATCTTCTTATTAAAATCAATAGCGTCTACATTAATTTCTTCTTTCTTATTGCTCTTCGTTCGTGCAAGCATCTTGCTTTTACTTGACGCTCCAACACGTTTAGCCTTAAATGCACTCTTATCCGCTTGCAGGGCAATATCGGTTAAACCTTCTCGATCATAAATATGAAAATAATTATTATATGATCCGGTTAAAACATTTCTATTAAGGAAAATAAATATGAGTTAGTAATATGAATAATATTATTAAAATTCAATAAAATAATAAAATAATATAGATAGATGGATAGATATCTATATTTATTTATCTATATATTTATTTTATTGATTTATATTTTATAGAACTTACTGGCCATCTCCACTGAATGTACATTCAAATTTGTCGAAAATACAATCATTTTCATATAGATCACAAAGCTTGTTTCGCAAATGATCGTGAATATTAATTGTTTTCAGTGGTCGAGTTTCCATGTTTATGTCCCAAATCTTAAGAGTCAAATAGTCGCGCGAAAGAATGTACCGTCCATCTCTACTAAATTTCACATCAGAAATGGACGAAATAATTTCCGAGAAAAACGACTTGTTGGCCGGATCTTCTTGTTCTTCGAACACTTGAAATTATAAAAATAAAATAAAATAATTAAATTAAAATTAAATAGACCAATTAATATAATTAATATATTATTCTAAATAAATAATATATATATATATATATTTATATATTTATATTTATATTTATTTATTTATTTATTTATTCTCACTTTTAGAATGTTGGTCGCACAAAGCCGCTGTTCTCATATCACTCAATTTTATAGTTCCTTTACTACTACTATACATGAAAAGATTACAATGAGATGGGTGGAATTCAGCAGCAGTAATAACCTCGGTAAGTTCTTCCATATTTACTGGCTTAATGTCAACAATGTCTAATGAGAAGATAAATGTAGTAAAAGAATTTCGAAAACTAATAATAAAAAGAAAAATCAATAAAAAATAAAATGAATTCAAAAATTTATTATGTCAAATAAATCTATAAAGAAAGGATACTAAAACTTTGATCACTAATATTCAAATTCCAAAGATTAATCCTTAGATCATCAGCAGATATGTATGTTTCTCCATCAGAGTTAATGGATATAGAATTAATATGATATGCGTGAGCATTAGCATATACTTTACGAGGTACGGCTGCAATAATTGTATCGTGGTGTGTAAGTTTTGGTAACCTCAATTGTTGGATTCTTCCGTTTTGAGGCCGTAATCCATCACTTAAATTGTTTTCCGCCACAACTTTCAAAGATTTTTCAAAGACTTTCCAAAGTTTGATAGTTTTATCTGTACGAAAAAAAAAATAATAATAATAATGATAATAATATTATTATTATTGTTATTGTTATTGTTGTTAGTATTATAAACCAATTCAATTAATTACAATCAATTACCATTAGTGGACAATAAAAAATGTGCGGCATTCTGTCGTTTACACCATTTGATCTTGTTGATTTTTTCTTCGATTTCCAAACTCTTCAAATAATCGAATTCTGGTTCGTGCGATTGAAATTCAGTATAAAATTTGTATTCGCAACCTTTTTTCTAGAAATAAATGTAAATTTAATTAAATTTATTTAAATAAAGATATATATACACACACATATATTAAAAATAAAAATCTAAATTGAAAAAAATGTAAAAAATTGACTTTACCCCATCATTACGTTCAAATAATACAACTCGTCCTCCTTTATCACCAGTGGCAAGATAATCACCAGTGTGGTCAAATTCTACGGTCGAGATAATGTCAGCTGCATAGGGAAATATAGTTGTCAGATCTACAGAATCTCTGTTGCAAAATAAGAAAATCGACATCAAAAAAATTCACGATCTGGCTCTTTGAGATGTTTGTCCTTTCAAACCCCCAGGTTATAATATACTTATTCTATGAAAAATTTATACGCAAATATCCATAACTACACTGAAAGTTTTATAAATCGATCGATGACTACGCATATTAGTCTTTTGAATCAATCCCGAACGATGGAAAAAAGAATTTCACTAATTATTTGCAAGCAATACACTGAGCCTTGACAAAACGGTCATATTACACATCCGAAAGTTGTAAACTTTTGAAAACCCGCATGAACAAACACTCATCACAAAACCAATTTCAAGATCCAGGCTGTGATTTAAAAGTCAGGGGGGTCAAGGAGGACAATTACCTTCTGTAATGTCCTCGACCTCGCCCTTGTCACCGAAGCATTGAGCAAATTTCCAACCAAATTCCATTTCTGCCATATTTATAATTTGTATAGTCCGTTAAAAGGAGAGAAGGCGGCTTGGTATAGAGAGGAAGGAAAAAAGTTATCAAATAAAAGACGGCTGTTGGAAGAGCGTTCGCGACCAAGTATATGCCAGGCGTTAAGATAGATAGATGTTTACTGATGGATGGATGGAGGTCGTCAACAGTCAACACAGCGTCGTGTGCGTATCTTGGATTAAGAAAAGTTGCAGACCTGTGCGCAATTGCGCATCGCTAAAAGTCACACGATGACACGAAGACCATGATGTCACTACCTATGGAAAATGAAATTCTTAACATACACTCCGTAACGCAAATTATAAATATCGATCTGTGATTGGTACGTAAGAAATATTTTATTATTTCATCTGGATGTGATTTATATTTTCTTAACATAATTTTAACTCTAAAAAAGAAATATTTCTTTGAAAAAATTAAAATCAAATAAAGGCATATAAAATTTGGTAAATCAATTCATTCTTTATTAATAATCTCAAGGTTATCAATATTAGTTAATAACTATTAAGATATTATATTGCACAAGAAAAACCTGTTTTTAAAAAAATGTAACTAATTAAATTTTGAAAGATAGTTTTTTTTTTTTTTATTTATTTATTGACATTTTCTTTTTGATTATAAGAAACATTGAAACATTAGCATTAACTCTTAATATTATAATTAATATAATATTTAGCTCATATTAATATTTTTTGGAAAATCTTTTTTAACACAATACAAATGTACATCTTTTTATTAAAATTATTATTATTTCTGTTAATAGCAAATGATAATGATAATCAAAAAAGCATCTCGCCTTAACATCCTCCCCTAACTAACATGATAATTATGATAATAAATAATTGAATTTCTTCTATATTTGTAAAAAATGTACGTTGGGCGCGACAGTAAAAACTGGATTATGAAATAACACGTGTAACAATACTAACAATACTAAAACTACAATGTATATCACTGTCCGGAGCGTAGCGTAGGACGAATAAAGTGATTACCAAAATTCCGTTTTGATGCTTTAAAAGTTCTGAAGCCTGTCCGATTTTTAGATAACGATTGGCAGATAAATAAATAACACAAATGAAAAATAGAAATAATTTATCCAATTAATATGCCCCGGACTAACAATTACCGCATTTAATTTTGCCCTTTCAATTATATTATTATAATGGTAAATTTTTAAATATTTAAATTCGACGTAATTCCGCAATTCTCAATCTCTTTCTTTATTAACTCATTCATTGAACTTCAACGAACACAGTATGAATTCAAACCCTCTCTCAAAGAAGTTCAAGAAATTGTAACCGAAAACAAAGGAAATACAATTCCAATTTTTACCCAAATTCCTGCCGACCTGCTTACACCTGTGGGTGCTTATTTGCGAATATCAGAGAAAAGTCAATATTCGTTTCTTCTCGAATCTGTAGCTGGCGGTGAAAAAATTGGTCGTTATTCATTTCTTGGCTCAGGTAATATCACATAATATTGAATATAATGTTTGACTCGATATTTTAGTAATAAATAATATCACATACATATTTATCCCTTATATTAATCTCACATCTTACTTGTAAACAGATCCATATAAGGTGATTAAAACAGGCGACCATGAACCTATCAAAGGAGATCCTTTAATGGCTCTTGAAGAAGAATTGAGCTCTGTTAAATTCTTTCCTGTTCCAGGAATTCCAAAATTTACTGGTATGTTTCTTTTATTATAAATTTCAAATTATTATTATTATTATAAAAATCTAATTATTCTAATTGTTAGGTGGTGCTATCGGATATATCACATATGATTGTGTGAAATACTTTGAACCACGAACGGCACGCGATTTAAAGGATCCTTTTGAACTTCCTGATTCCGTTTTCCTGCTTTGTGATACGATAGTTGTTTTTGATCATCTTTATCAAATTCTTAATATAGTTTCACATTATCGAAGTGATTCAACAGATTTAAACAATGTGGAATATCTTTATAATTTAGCAATAGGAAAAATAAAAAATATTTTGAAATTATTAAGAAAAGAGGTTACACCTGCGGTACCTCAGGGAGAAATTCGTCTTAATCAAACATCTGTATCAAATGTGGGTAAAGCTGGTTACGAGGGATTTGTAACAACATTAAAACAACATATAAAGAAAGGGGACATCATTCAGGCGGTTCCTTCTCAAAGATTATCACGAGAAACCACCTTACATCCATTCAATGTATATAGATATTTACGGATGGTAAACCCATCCCCATATCTATTTTATGTTGATTTAAAAGATCATCAAATTGTTGGTGCATCACCCGAACTTCTTGTTAAAGTTGAAGATGAAATGGTTTACACCCATCCAATTGCAGGTACACGTAAACGGGGTAAAACCGCGGAAGGTTGGATATCTTATATTTTTTAATTCGGAATTCAAACCTATTATTTTTTTTTTTTATAATTTAAACTTATCTCTTTTTAATTTAAATTTATCTATCATATTTTCTTAGAGGATGAAAAACTTGCTGATGATTTATTAAGTGATCCAAAAGAAAGAGCCGAACATATTATGCTTGTTGATCTTGGACGAAATGATGTCAATCGTGTTTGTCAACCTAAAACAGTCAAAGTAGATTCACTAATGAAAATTGAAAAATATAGTCACGTAATGCATATTGTTAGTCAAGTCTCGGGCAAACTTCGTCCGGATAAAACAAGGTGTTTATAACAAACTTTCACAAGATTAATCGAGATTATAAATATTGTAAATATTTTCTGTATTTATTTAAATTTCTTGAATTTTACAGATACGACGCGTTTCGATCTATTTTTCCGGCAGGGACCGTTTCAGGTGCACCTAAAGTAAGAGCTATGGAACTTATTGGAGAATTAGAGAAAGAGAAACGTGGCGTCTACGCTGGTGCCGTAGGACATTTTGATTTTTCTAATTCTATTGATACTTGCATCGCTATCCGTACAATGTTATTCAAAGATGGTATTGCATACCTTCAAGCAGGTTTGTTTCATCATAATAATAATAACAACAACAATAAAATCGATAAAAAAAATAAAAAAATTCAAATGAAAAAAAAAAATAATTATTTATTTTATTTTATTTTATTTATTTTAGGAGGTGGAATTGTATATGATAGTGTTGAAGAAGATGAATATCAGGAATCTATAAACAAGTTAAAGTCAAATGTGACATGCATTGATCAAGCTGAAGATTACTATTTAAAATTACAAAAAAATTAAGATACAATATAGAAATATTATTATTATATTATTATTATTATTATTATTATATTATTTCTTAGCGATATTTATTTAATTTAATTGAAATCTCCTCGAAAAAATCTCGAGATCTTTATTTATTTTTATTCCGTATCTAAAGCTTCTTGTTCAGATTCATCATCTCCAGAAACTTCCGCATTTTCTTTCTCTACACGAGCCATAAGTGCAGCAAGTTCCATGTCATCCGTCTCACTTACAGCCTTTGGCTAATTTTTTAAGAATAAAATGTTAATAAAGTGTAACGAATGAATGAAAAAATAGAAAAGAATTAAAAATAAAAATTCATGAGAACCTTCATTTTAACTATCAAATTTCCTCCTGATTTTGTGATTGATTCCTGAATAGTATTAATTGCTTTTTCTAATGCCTCAATTCCAACAGTTTTATCCAATGCATTGGTGATCATTACGTATAATGGTGGAGCAACTAGTTTGACCTAAAAATAATATAAGTCACATATTAAAATATATTATTAAAATTATTAAAATGAAATAATTGAAAATTTTAACAAATTAGAGAAAATACCTTAATTACAATATCACTAGTTTCACACGCTTCACCAGCTTTTAGAGCTTTTTTAATAGCATCAATACCTTCATAACCATAACAAGTTACTTCAAGATCTATAAAAAATAAAAAAAAAATATCTCATTTGTATATCATTTATATAATTAAATTGATATATAATATATATATATTACCTGCTCGAATTTTAATTGGTTGTGGTGTTAATCTTCTCTTAATATTACTTGCTAATTCATTAGAAACTTCTGGAGATATATCGAGTCCTTCAAAGACCTTCTCGGGCTCACTAATTAAAATCATTAAAATATTATTTAATTATAAAATTAATTAAATTAATTAATTAATTTTTATTTTAGATAAAAACTTACGTGATTGCCAATTTGAAAGCTTCATAAGCATGACCATATTTTCTGTATAATGGCCATCCGATTAGTTTATATAGATCTTCAAGCACAAGGTTTTGTTTCTCGGCAACATGTCGCATGATGCTATGTACCTAAAATAAAGTGGATAAAAATATCAATTAAAAATGTTATAAAAATGTAGGCTACACTTATAAAATAAAATAATGAATCTTACTGCTTTAGATTTGTTATATTTTTCTTCCGCTTTTGCAACATCTTCAATAGAAACTCGACGTTTGGACAAATCAATATATCCTATAAAGTTTAATTTAAATTTGTTTAAAAATATTTAAAACATTTTGAATTAGATTTATATTATCGTAAAAATAATAATAAAAAAAAAAAAAAAAATTGAATACCTTTTTCTTTATCGACTCTCAAAACTACCACAACTTCATTTCTTCCAACTCGAATCAATTTTTGAATACTTCGAATTCTTCGTCGTGACAATTCCGACAAAAGTATCATACCCTCAATATTATCATATTCCAACTATCAAGTAAATTTATAAAAATATTAAATAATTCGCTTCCTGATTCTGTATTGTTAACGTATGCACACAACGAATGCACTCTGATCTATCTTTATCTATCTTACTAGTTTAACATATGCTCCCATTTCGGCGATCTGGCGAACGTTAACCATAACCAGATCTTCCACCTCGGGATATTTTTCTTCGTACATACGACATTGAAATTGTTGTGGGTTTGACATTATGTTAAAATATTAGTTTCTCTAAATCCGAGAAATCTATTATCAGTAAAAATTTTGTCAGTGGATTTTATGACTCATAATTTGGGTAACACATCCCGCATGATTGAAATATCATTGTTAAATCAGTGCGATCTGCGCAAGGGATAATAAAATAAAATTTTTTTATTATTTACTATTTTAGTTACAGGTTACAACTGTAAGATAATCTAAATGCCACACATTAAATATAAAAATCTGTGTGGCATATTATCACATGATCAATATTTAAAAAATCGGAAATCTTAACCTATTCCGGGAGGTATAGATTCTTATCCCTATTCTTCCCGTGCAAATTATTGTGTAACCACCTTAACGCATGGGTTATGGTTAGGGTTTATCAGGGGTGGGTTAATTATTACCTTGTATCACATCCTCGATTTTTATTAAGAAAAAACTTAACCTATTTTGGAGCTCCAAAATTACAATTTTGAAAAAAAAAGTCAAAATAATTTTTCATAGAAGATGAAATTATTTTATTTAAAATTCAAAATTTTTTGACTACCTAGATTTATTCTTTAATTAAAGATACATATAACTGGATACTTTTTTTATGTCCATATATAGAATAGATTCTGCATAGATCTTAAAAAGTTAAAATACTTCAAAAATTCAAAATCAATTTTGAAAACATATATAGTTTAGATAATTTATTTTAGACCAGAGGGTTCAGGATGTTTAATCTAGACTATACTTGTATGTAAAATTATTTTGAGGTTCCGAAATTACAATTTTGAAGAAAAAAGTTAAAATAGTTTTTCATAGAAGACGAAATTATTTTACTTAAAATCCAAAATTTTTTAACCACCCAGATTTATTCTTTGATTGAATATACACAAAACTGGATACTTTTTTTACATCCATATATAGAATAGATTTTGCAAAAATCTCAAAAAGTCAAAATATCTCAAAAATCCAAAATAAATTTTGAAAACATATATAATCTAGACTATACTTGCACGCTGTTACCATGGGTTTCCTCCACTTTCATAATTTTTTTATTTTATTTTATTCTTATTTGTATTTATTTTATTAGTATAGTTATTTAGTATATTTTAGTATAT